AAGCAGGAGCTGAAGCTCCAGTCTTGGGGCAGAATTTATTCTTTTTCAAGAAACCACAGTTTGGGCTCCTAAGGCCTTCCCACTGCTTAGAGGAGGCCCACCCACATGATCGAGGATGATCTCTTTTACTTAAGGTCCATCGATTGGAGATGTTTACCACACCCACAGAAGTCCTTCACAGCAGCACCTAGATTTGTGTTTGATTAAATAACTGGTGCTGGAGCCCAGGCACGTTGACACGTGAGACTAAGCATCACAGATGATATTTAGAGTCATGGTCCTGGCTGGGATTAGTTAGGTGGGCCATGTAGAGAGATGAGAAGAGGGCTTAGGATTGAAGCCTGAGGAATTCCTACATTTCAACTTCACGTGGAGAAGGAGACACTGGGCAAGCAGAGCAGGAAGGAGTAGGCAGTGAAGACCAGGTTCTGTGCCCATCAAGTCCGGGATCCCATGGGTTAGACAAAGCCCTGCATTAGACAAAGCAGAGTGGACTGGCCTCTTGCCTGCAGGTCTTCCCAGGGCCTTAGTATGCATGTATGCAGCCCCACAAGAAAGATGTAGTAGTTGCATTTCTCAGACTCTTTTTTTTTTTTTTTGCGGTACGCGGGCCTCTCACTGTTGTGGCCTCTCCCATTGCGGAGCACAGGCTCCGGACGCGCAGGCTCAGCGGCCATGGTTCACGGGCCCAGCCGCTCCGCGACATGTGGAATCCTCCCGGACTGGGGCATGAACCCGTGTCCCCTGCATCGGCAGGCGGACTCTCAACCACTGCGCCACCAGGAAGCCCTCTCAGACTCTTTTGAACAATCAGGAGCCAGACTCTTCTGTTGTTGTTTTTGTTTTTGTTTTTTGAGAAACTTTCGGAAACTCTGCAGAAGGAAATAATGGCATCAAAAGAGCTTAAACATTGGAAGGGGAGCCCTGCAGCTCTAGAAGAAAATGAGGTCAGGACTGAGTGGAAGAGAAAGAATTTGGGCAACTAATGGAGTGGGGAGGGGTTGCCAAATGAGAGGTTCTCTTCTTCCCGCTGGAGACCGAGGGGGAGGGTTCGGACTAGCCCAGAAGACCATTCAGCTGTCCAGCTGTCAGCGGTCCCACTGCTTCGTCTTCCTCAAGGGGACTGGTATTTTGTGAAAGAATCTGATTCCAAAGCAAGACCCTGGTCCTTGAGGTCTAATGCGGAAGTCAGTGTGGGCAGGTCTGGCCCAGGAACCACGTCACGGGGGTTTAATCCCAGCTCCATCACCGTTGAGCTGGGTGACCTTGGGCCATTTTTTATACCATCTCCTGGGGCCTCAGACTCTTCATTATTTTTTTTTTCTGGATATTTAAAACCACTTTTAAAAATTGGAGTATAGTTAAATTACAGTGTTGTGTTAGTTTCAGGTGTACGGCAAAGTGATTCAGTTATACACATAAATATGTCTATTCTTTTTCAGATTCTGTTCCCTTATAGGTTATTACAAAATATTGAATATAGTCGCTTGTGCTATACAGTAGGTCCTTGTTTTTTATCTATTTTATATACAGTAGCGTATATATGTAATCCCAAACTCCTCATTTATCTCTCGCCCAGCCCCCCCAAGGAGACCCAGTCTCTTAATCTGTGAAGTGGGCCTCTTCTCCGAGTTTGGGGATCAGGTGAGGTGGCGATGGAGCAGGCCCTTGGTCAGCAGCCAGCAGGAGGTTTCATCACTTGGCCATTGCACAAGGCGGTGGCGGTGTGAGCACAGCAGAGTTACGTAAGCTGTCCTCTGCCTTGGCCAGGACTGGGGAGGGGAATAGGCAGGCGTACTTGACTGCCCTGAGTGGGCCATGCGGTGACTCAGCGTGGAGGGGGACGTCCAGAGGAGCCTCAGAGCTCCGTCTTGGGCCATTTTTCAGGATTGTTTATAAACAATGTCCCACCAAGGTGGGCTTGGTGGTGAAGCTGTCAGGAAGCTGGGAGCTGGGCCCTGTGGCCTCTTCTTAACCTGGTCTGAGACTCCTGGAATTGGCCTGCCTTAGGGGGAAGGAGAGAAACAGGGCAGCCCCAGCCCTGGGTCAGTAGAGACGGTGTGTCGAGGCCTGTGGTGCACACATTCTGGGGGCCTGGGCAGCCCCCAACACACTATGTTACCTTGAGAGAGGCCTCAGTATCTTCCCTGTGAAGAAATCTCTAAAATTTTGTAAGATGGTGTATCCCATTCTTTCTTAGGACACCTTCTATCACCAACTAGCATCTCTAAACCCCAGGAAACCTGAAGAAAGTGTCTGGTTCCCTCCTCCATTGTTGGGGGAAGGAGTGTGTGTTGGGACTGTGACGGGCACCTCGTGGGTGAGCACGCACTCAGAATTGTTAAAACATCTGTATTCGTCTCCTAGAGCGGCTGGATCAAAGTACCACAGACAGGGTGGCTTAAAGGAACAGAAATTTATTCTCTCACGGCGCAGGAGGCCAGAAGTTCAAAAGCAAGGTGTCTGCAGGGCTGGTTCCTCCTGGAGGCTCTGAGGGGAAGTCCGATCTCTGCCTGGCTTTGGGCGGCAATCCTGGGCATCCTTCAGCTTGTAGAAGCATCACTACAATCTCTGCCTCCATCTCCTTATGGCCTTGTCTCTGTGTCTTTGTGCATCCTCTTCTCTTCTTATCAGGATCCCAGTCACTGGATTTAGGGCCCATCTTTATCCAGTATGACCTCATCTTAATTACGTCTGCAAAGATCCTATTCCCAAATGAGGTCATATTCTGAAGTTCCAAGTGGATGTGAATTTGGGGAGGGAGGGGACACTATTCAACCCATGAGAACACCTTTATCTCACTTAATCTTCACAACGCCTGGACCCTCATTTTATATGCAACACCCCTGCCACCCAGAAACTCAGAGATGTTAACTGATCTCGTCCAAATTCCCACAGCCAGGAAGCGGTAGGGCTGTGAACCAGGGACCTGGCTCCAAGTCCAGGGCAGTCCCTGCCACGTTGGTGCCACCCTTTACAGTTTACAAAGCCCCCTTTCCAGAGTCATTAGCTCTGTGTGACTCAGGTATACTTATTGTATTATCTGCCCATTTCACAGATGAGGAAACCGAGGCCAAAGGCCGGTGTGGGGGAAATGAGTCAAGTGGTTTGTAAAGATCAGACGGTGAGTAGGTGGCATGGCAGGGACTCAAGGCCTGGACTCCATGGTTCTTCCCCTCCAATTCAATATTATATCTCCGTGTGGGTCAGGTGAAAGACGCCAGACACAAAAGACACATATTGTGTGATTCCATCTCTATGAAATGGTCAGAATAGGCAGACCTAGAGACAGAGAGAAAATTAGCGGCTACCAGAGGCTATAAAGAGGAAATGACTGCTAATGGGTGTGGAGGGATGAAGGTGTTCTGGAATTAGGGGGCAGTGATGGTTGCACAACCCTGTGAATACGCTAAAAGCCACTGGAATGGGCAAGGCACAGAACTCCTATCTCAATAAAGCCACTCTAATAAAGATCTCACTGTAAGGTGTCAGCCCCCCGCCACTGGAGATGGTTCTTCAGGAAGCAAGAACTCACAAGCCCCAGAAGATGCAAAGTCTGCCTATCGGGGCAGAAACAGCCCAAGCCGAGGCCGGATGCTCTTCATGCAATAAGGCACCTTGGGAGCTGCTTCTGTGACAATTTGCATCCCCCTGTTAAGGCACAAACACACAGAAAGCAGGTGGGCTTCTGACCACACTCCTGAAGAACCGCATGGCCTTAGCAGGTTATTTCCCTCTCTGGGCCTAAGTTCCCACATCCCGAACTGGCAATGATACAGGCACCTCCCTACATGAGTGGTCGTGAGGGTCAATTCCAAAAAGAGCTCAGCAATGGATAAACAACAAGGTCCTATTGTATAGCACAGGGAACTATAGTCAATATCCTATAATTAACCATAAAGAAAGTAAATAAATTAGAGCTCAGCAGAGTGAGAGATATTTTCATGGAGCCCCTTTGACCTCAGCCAAAAAAACCCCACGAACAAACCATTAAACTTTCAGCCACGGCTATTGCCAAATTGTGTCCTCCTTGCTCAACCCTGACCCCAGCATTCTCAGGGGCTTTGGTCAGAGGTCAGGGCTGTGTGGGGCTCCGCAGCGGGCCCGGGGATTGAGTAACTAGGAGGTATGGAATGTGCTGTGCGGGTCACAGCTGGAGACTGCACCTTTGAATCATCAATGGCTGCATCATCGGCGGGAGCCTGCATCACCAGCACTAGTTCCCATTGGGGCACCTGGTGGGCAGTTGGCAATCCTGCACTGGGCCCTCACCCGCCCTGGCCAGGACAGACTCAGGAGCTGGGCCCAGCGCTTGGTTCTGAGGCCACCATAGGCCCCTCTGGGCTTCTCCCCATCTCACCAGCTCGCTGGGGCCAAGGAGGGTCAGGAGTTGAGGGCCGCTCGTGCTGCCTGGCTGGGGTGGGAGGGAGATAGGAGGGAGCTGAGAGGGAGGCCTTCCCAGCCTGTTTACACCTGCTGAGAGCCCCGCTCAGACTCCTCCAGATTGCAGACTTCCCTGAGTCATGCCCCATCCGTGAGCGAAGTCCCTCGGATGAGTTAGCTCCCTTGCACACTTGTGGGCATCATTCTGATGGTGATGATGGTGATGGTGATGATGATGATGATGATGATGGTGATGATCGAGTGAGTGCTTCCAGGGCGCTGCCTGCATTACGCGTCCCGAACTCCATTGCTACTGAGTGTGCCTCCCTGCCTAGACTCTGAGGGCTTGATGTTGGCGCCTGGGAGGTGCGTTCTCCGTTATCTCCACGTGGGCCGGCCACAGAAGGCAGATTATAAAACGTGTAGAAAAAGAAGAAACGAATTCCGCCTGGAGGACCTCGGGCTTGGGGCTAGGGCTGTGTCTTAAGCCTCTGGCCAAGGATGCTGGTCCAGTTTCATCCTGCCTGACACCTGGTACCGGCTTTCCGCCCCGTCCATCACTGCCCACCCCGCCCTTCGGCACAACGACCCGCCCCTGCCCCGCCCACAGGAGGCAGAGCCGCGGACCCCTCTGCAGTTGCTTCTTTGGGCAAATGATCTACGGGTTGGGGAGGGCGTTCTTCCACCTCCACTGAAGACGCTTGTGTGTGCGCACGCTCGCGTGTGTGTGTGTGTGTGTGTGTGTGCACGTTGATGGGAAGGACAGGTGGTGGAAGGGAGCTAACATATTGAGCACCTAGTATGTGTCAGACACTGATGGGTGCTTTACACCCCACCATTAGCTACCGATTCTCCTCTACGGATCTTTTGCTGAACCTTTGTCTTTCTCCTTATAATAAATTTATTCCTGTTCTGTGGGCGTAATAATGCCTCACATTTACATAGCACCTTTCATTTGTCAAAGTACTTTTATGCCTGTTAGCTCCTTTAATCCCCCAACAGCCTCGTGTTACAGAGGAGGAAACCGAGACAGGGACACAGCCACGTGCAACCAGTTATAGGCTGAGCTGGGGCGGGCTCTCCTCACCCCTCTGCTCTGCCCCACCCACAGTGCCTTGCTTGACCGTGGCTGCAGGTGCTGACTTATCCCCACATGAGTCTGCAAGTTCCTTCAGGACCGAGACTGTACTTTCTTTTTCTTCTCTTACCCACAGTGCTCAAGGCTGCGTATACAGCAAGTGCTGGATAAGTGCTTATTGGGTTCTTCTTTGGTACAGACCACTTGTCTTTCCATGAGGGGAATGAAAGAATCCTGGTCTCCAGATTCACACCATGGGTCTCTCAGAGTTTAACCTTCATCAACCTGAGAAATCATCCTCCAACGTCCTAGCTGAGTGGATTGAAGAAACCCAAGGCAGAACTTCAGCTGAGCCCTGCGCGGGCACTCAGCTGCTGCACCAAAGCTGGGTGGCATTTCTGGAGATCTGAGCTGTCGTGCTGGGGCAAGGTGGGACACCGCATGGGAGGGAAGCTCGGTCACTCCTGTCCCTACCCCCAGGCTCCCTCCACTCCTGGGAAGCAGCAGACTGGTCTAGGGGTGGCAGCAAATAAGAACAATAATACTCTTGTGTTTCTGGAGCCCTTGGCTGTGTACCAGATCCCTCCAACCTCACAGCCTTGTTATCTGCAACTGGAGCCGGGAAGACATTTACTGGAGACACCGACCCACTGTCCAAGGTCACACTTGGGATTCCTTCCATTCCTCCTGGGTCACATCCTGAGAATCACTGTGCAATAATCTTCACCCGCGTTAGTAGCCCTGGTGACATCTGCTCACTGGCTGCTTCCCACCCACTACGACAGTTTGTGAATCTGGCATTCCACTGAGATGGAGGTCCGCAGCGTGCCCATGGAGTTCTCCGTCTGGCTGGGCTCTGCCCCGCAGCACCCTTGCCGGCACAGCCGCCCGTACACCTCCCGCGACTTCTTGCGGAAGCTCTTGCCCACGATCACGTACACCAGCGGGTTGAGGCAGCTGTTGCTATAGGCCACGTAGGACGCGATCTGCGTGAAGACGTCGACCACGTGCTCGTCCCAGCAGCTGGAGAGGATGTCGAGGCGCTGCAGCGTGTCCAGGAAGGTGCTGATCTGGAAGGGCAGCCAGCAGGCGATGAACAGTAGCAGCACGGCCAGGACCAGCACAGTGGCTTTCCTCTCCGTCTGGGTCTCCTTGAACTTCTGCATCTCGTTGTTGCGCAGCATGCGTATGATGTGCACGGTGCAGAAGGTGGTGACGCTCAGGGGCAGCAGGAAGCCCACGGAGTTCAGGAGGCTGTTGGTGAAGACCTCCCAGCTGCGGGACGGGTAGATGATGACGCAGGCGGTGACGTTGTGGCCCTCGGCCCCGTACTCCCGCATGGTCCGGAAGACCAGCATGGGCACGCTCAGGAAGAGCGAGCAGCCCCAGATCACCAGGCTGTAGAGTCTGGCCCAGCGCACCCTGCGCATCCGGCCCACGGACATGGTCTTCACCAGGGCCAGGTAGCGGTCAATGCTCACCAGCATGAGGAAGTAGATGCTGCTGTAGAGATTCATGTAGAGCACGGTGTTCACCACGCGGCAGAGGACTTCCCCAAAGAGCCAGTCGAAGTTGTTGGTGATGGTGATGGCCCAGAAGGGCAGCCCGCAGGCCAAGAGCAGGTCAGCCACGGCCAGATTGCCCAGGTAGACCTCCGCCACCGTGCAGCTGCTCCTGTGCAGGCAGAAGACACTGAGGACGAAGGCGTTCTCGAGAGCTGCCAGTATGAAGAGGACCCAGAGGAAGGGGGACTGGATGGTGTTCAGCCAGCTCCACCAGTCGGAGTGGACGCAGCTGCTGCTCTGGGGAGGGGTCCCGTTGAGAGCAGGTTCAAGGGCTTGCAAGGTGACATTGAACATTTTGGCGCTGCAAGAAATTGGAAAAGAGGCAGTTACACCTCAAGGTCACAAGAGGAAGGAGAAACAACTGGTGCAGAAGGAGGGGGGGATGCTTCCAGAAGGCAAAGTCAGGGGTGAAACCCAGGCCCTTTCTGTGTGGTGTTCAGAGGCAGTTCATGCACACCTGTGTCCCCAGGGTCCTGGAAAGGCTCCTCTGCTCCTTGGACTTAAACTGAGAGCTCTTGTTCTTCGCCTCCAGGCTCCACTGGGATGTGTACTTGACCAGCATCCGTCACCCAGACTAACAAGCGTGAGTGTTAGACCCTGGACCTCCTCGAAGCTTCCATGATGGGAGGATACACAGCATATTCCTTCCTTATCACAGGCCCCCACCCCCACAAGGGCGCTGGTCTCTTTCAGCCTCTTGTGGCCTGGCCATGGGTGAGCAATTTATTAGAAGAGAAAAGTGATATCATGTCAGACAGGGAGATTCCAACCTGGCTCGGAGACCACAGTCCATCTGCCCACTCCCTGTCTCCTTCTGGCAGAGGGCAGCATCATGCTTCCGTACCTTCTATCAGTGTAGCATTGATGATGAGCGGAGGTTGCTTGATGAAAAGGGAGGGGAAGGGGCTTTGGAGCCGGACAGTCCTCTGGGTTCAGTCCTGGCTCATTCATTAGCTGTGTGACCTTGGGTAAGTTAATTAACCTCTCTGAACCTTAATGTTCTACCTTGTAAAATGGGAATAACAAAATCTTCTCAGGGTTGTGGTGGGGACCTGAGACAAGGTGCAGAAAGCCCCAAGCACTGCACTTGATTCAATAAACATGAATAATTACCTGTTTTTTGTAAACTTATTAAAATAACCAATGTCAAACTCCAGCACCACTGTTGGCAGATTCTTGCTCTTATATTGGTGATTCCATCATTAACCCACTGGCTCCTCTTTCACTCTTAACTCAGACCAGAAGTGAGACTCAGCCCAGGGGGCAGTTCACTTTCTGGGAGTTCCTCTCCAACTTCAGCAAAGAGGCATGGGGTTTTGATAGACTTTGGCTCCAACCCTAGCTGTGTTGTCTTGGGTAAATTGCTTGACCTTTCTGAGCTTCCACCTTATTGTTGTAGAGTCTTGCTCTCTCCCTGGCTTGCCTTGCATGGCTCTTGCAAGGTTTAAATCAAAGAGTAGGTATGAAGACACATTGAAAAACTAAAAGCACAATGCAAAGGGCAGGACTAACTGGGCACTTTCCTAGTGCTCCGTGGGGTGGATGAAGGAAGGTGGAGGTGGAAGGGCTCTTCCTGGGCAATTGATTGTTGGGTAGGCTCGTGGGGGAGGAGCTGAGCAATAGATCATGGGAAAGAATCTGCTGATTGTCTCTGGGATTTCCCAGAAAACGTCCTGGAGCAGCTGGCTGGCTTTGAGGGGCCAGACTGGAGACGTGTGATGAACTCATTCATTGATGCAATTTATCTTTAAATGCTTCTTGAGCATCTCCTCTGTGCTGAGCTCCACCTTGGCTCTAGGGACCCAGAGGGGAACACCACACGTCTCCTGCCCTGCCCGAGCTCCCAACACCTGCCACCCGGTGTGCGCAATGAGCGCCGAGGGGTGGGAGGAGGGGCAAGGGACACAGATGTGGGGGGAGGAGGTTGGAGGTAACTCTGGAGCTGGGTCTCAGAGGATGAAGAGCATGTCAGCAGGGGCCAAGAAGGAAGGAGGGCAGATCAGGCAGAAGGAGCAGCTTGAGCAGAGGCACAGAAGTGGGGAAGCCGCTGGTGTGTTCTGGCAGGTGGACTAGATGTTGGATGGGGAGGTGGGAAGTGGCAAGTGATGCGGTTGAATAAGGGGATAAGGACAGTCTTCAATGGGTGCTGAGAAAGTGAGGCTTTGTCCCTATTGGAAATACGCTCTAGAAAGGCCCTCCTAGTGGAGGGTGGTTTTAATATGTCCACAAATTCTTCGATACTCCTCCTTTCAAAGGGTGGAGTCTAATTCCTCTTCCAGTGAATGTGGCCAGACTTAGTGACTTGCTTCCCACCCGTGGTGGCAGTGACAGTGTGTGACATCCAAGACTAAGGCATAAGAGGCTTTGCAGCTCCTTCCTTGGCCTCTTGGGTTGCTTACTCAGGGGGAGGCTAGCCGCCATGTTGTGAGGACACTCAAGCAGCCACATGGAGAGGCTCCATGGAGAGGAACCAACTTGCCACCTTGGTCATGGATCCTCTGGCCCCAGTGAAGCCTTCGGTTAGATTCTGTTCCCTCGGCCTGTGAGTCTTCCAGCTGAGGCCCCAGACATCACAGAACAGAGACAAGCCATCCCCACTGGACCCTAAATTTCTGACCCATGGAAACGGGCAGGCTTCTCTGCAGAGCCTCTGAAAGTAAGACCTCCCCTACGTGGTCCCCTTGGTCCAGGCTTTGGCCCGATTTCTGCAGGTACAAAAAACTTGTTTCCTTAATGCCCCAGACCTGGGGCGCTGCTGTCTCTCATGGTCCAGCTCTCTAGACGCTCAAGTGTCACACCACACGCTGCTTGTTAATTTCCCCCACAAGGTAGTTCCTAGCCAACGGGATGGCACCTGGCCCACACCTGCTCTGAGAAGCCACAGGATCATTAGAAGGTGGCCTGGGGAGTGCTTGACTGGGAGTTATAGGGCTCGTGTTCCATGACCCCAGCTGAGATGGCCATCTGGTCATGTCCATAGTAGGTCACACCCGACACAGGACCTAGAGGCCCAGCTGGGCCCAGCTCCCCCTTTGTCTTCCTAACACTGCCCCCCCTCAGGACTGACTCTCCCTTTCCTCTGCTTCCACTCGGGATCAATTCCCCCCCCACATTCTCTCTTTAGAGTGTTCAGACCTTCCCCAGAGGTCAGCCTTGTGTTGGAGATGTCCCGTCTCCATTGGAGACATGCCACATCTCTGTCTGATTTCTTGTGTTGACTTCAGAATTTCAATCTTTCTTTTCACGTTCACCTGGGGTCATTCACACGTGACCACCTGTGTAATGTGTGCTTCTCCTCCTGCACACCCCTCCCTCAAACAGAACAATCCACGCCCTCCGCCCCCGGCAGGCCTTTGGGGATTGGAACACCAGCCTCCCCAGCCCTTGAGAACTTTTGTCTTTGGGTTTAACATTGCCTGGTGCTTCACGTGTTGTCCCGGAGAGGAAGGGCGTGCTCTCCTAGGTGTTCTCCGGCTTGTCCCCTCCCCTCTGCCCCATAAATAGTAAATCGAGGAATCCCTTTGACTCAGCTGAAAGACGCAGTGGTGGGCGCGGCGTCCTCATGAACAGGTTGGATCATTGATCTCCTCCAGGCAGAGGACACACTAGGACTCAGAGGGGGACGTGAGTAACGGCCTGCCCAGGCTGACTGGAGGAGAAAAGACAGTTAGGTGGTGGGACCGGGGACCATAAAACACACGCGTTCTCCACTAGGGGAGAGAAATGGAGGGCTTCGCTTAACAAATATTCATTAAGCGCCCATCACACACTGGGTGCCAGGACGTAATGTGAGGACAGGCACAGTGCCTGTCCTCCGTGGGCTTATGGTCTCATGGAGAAGCCAGACACGACCCAGTCACTAAGTTACTGAAAACTGACATAAATCCTATGAAATAAAATGCAAGGTCCCGTGACAGCATGGAAGGTGGGGTTCTAATCCAGCCACGGGCAGGGGCTGAGTGGATATTTGTTATGAGACCCGAGGGTGAGCAGGAGTAAACTGGGTGAAAGGATGGTGGTGGAGGATGTCTGGACAGAAGGAGCAGCAGGTGCAAAGGCCCTGGGGCAGGAAGACGCTGGGTGCGGATGTGTGTTAGGCCCTGGTGGCTGGATTGTGGGGGAGCCACAGGGGCAGTTGCTGCCCGTTTGTCTAGGCACAGGATGATGGAGACTGTAGAGGATCGAGTCCAGAGGCGTTTAGGGAGGAACACTGACATGTCTGGAGCAGAATTGGACATGGAGAGGTTGGAAATGAGGATAAGGAATGCTGCCACCCCCATCCTGGTGCTGCTGTCTCCTATGAAGGGAATGAATGGGAAGGGCTAGCTTGGAGAGACAGGATCATGTGGTTAGACTTGAACCTGTAAGGTTTGAAGTGCTTAGAGACTTGCACGTGGGTCTGGAGCTCAGGGGAGGGGGCTGGGCTGGAGGACAGGCTCGCCCTGATGCAACGGAGATGAATTAGACACAGGATCTCCAGGGCCTTCGAGCCTAATAGACGAATACAGAGGGGTGTTTCCAATCCACAGCTCTGGTCAGTGCTGCAACGTGCTCTCAAGTTCTGAGCCGGGTCCTCACCTGAGCCCCGGGGAAAAGTGCCGGCCTTTCTGCCCCGTGGGGCTTGCACTGATGCAACCTCCCTCTCCCTCTTCAAGTTCAACTGCACTCTCAGGGAGGTAGGCATTGGCCGCACGCTTGCCTTGCAGAGGAAGAAACGAGGTGCAGAGAGGTGGGGTGACTTATCCAACTGCCGCTGCTGGTAAGAGGTGGAGGTGGGACTTCAACCCTTCTGGTGCCAGACCTGGAGCTCGGGCCAGTATCCCATGTGACCTCTGGCTGTCTGGGAAGGGTGTGAAAAGCTGGGCACATGCATGCGTGTGTGTGTGCGTGTGTGTGTGTGTTTAGCCACGCATCTGCCCTGCCCTAGGTTTCAGCAGCTTCTCAGCTAGAGGAGCCTGTGCAGACCCTGCGCACCCGGCTTCCAGAAGCCCAGCTCTCCCAATGCAGTTGTGGGAGGTGGAGATCAGTTAGCAGACAATTCTGGAAATTTGAACACATTAGGAAAAAAAAAAAAAAAAAAAAAAGACGGGGTTGGTAAGCAGGAAATAAAACCAAAGATCTTCAGTTAACACCCAGAAAAGGTTTCCCCAAACCCCCAAGCTAAGCTGAGGTCAGGATTTCGAACTTGCAAGAGACGCAATGCACAGCAAGTCCTTTTGATTTTTCGAGGAGGGGGGTTAGGGGAAGGGAAGAAAGACCTAGTAGAATGCTTTTCTGAGGGGCCCAGCTGGGCCCATGGAA